TATAAAGTAAAGCCATATTAATGTGCTGAACTGTGAATGGCTCAAGTCAACAACTTCTGTGGATAACCCACTACCATTGTGGACTGCTGGAATGTGTTGGATTGTTTAGCTGAATTTACACACCAACAGTATTTAGATGCCAATGGAATACCCATCTCTCACAGAACTAAAAAATGGGGGGGATACAAAGGAAGAACTATTTTGTATCTGTATATAAACAATAGTAAGGATAGATATATAGCTACTTTCATTTGATTCAATGAGAAGAAAGATTTGTACTAATAGCGTTTGGACAAGATACCCTGTCTGCATCTTGTACTACAGATAACCACTAAGAAGATACCAATGTACAATTAATATATTTATTAATTATTAAAACTGTCCTATTAATCAGTTTTCAAACTGTCTCATTGATATTTGTTTCTCAATAAAATAATAAATAAATCAAACAACAAGGTCTGTTGGATAGGCTAAGGGGAAAAACAAACACTTCTACACTGTTGGTGGGAATGTAGACTGCTTCAACCAATATGGAAATCAATGTGGAGACTTCTTAAAGAACTAGAACTGGAAATCCCATTCAATCCAGCTATCCTCCTACTGGGGGTTTTCCCAAAAGATCTGAAAACATCATACCATGGTGATATATTTGCACCTATGTTTATGGCAGCACAATTTGTGATAGCCAAATCTTGGAAGCAACCAAAATGCCAGTCACCAGAGGCATGGATGGAAAAGATGTGACATTTTTATACAATGGGGCATTACTCAACTATAAATAATGATAAACTCGAAGCTTTTATATAGAAGTGATTGCCACTTGTAGATGTACTCATAAGTGAAATAAACCAGACCCACATGTGTAAATATCATATAGTCTTCCTAGTGTAGGAACTCAAAAAAAGTAATAAAAATTGAAAGGTATGACACTAAATGTAAAGTGAGAACTTAAGAATCAAACAATGAAGAGTGGGCAAGGAAAAAAGCTACTAAACCAGGCAGGGGAGAAAACATACATTTATATATGCAGAATGGTTAAAGCAAAGATCATGAGGATCTTCAGCATGTTTTTAAAATAGCAGTTAACTGGTAGCATTCTCACACTGACTAACTATATATGCTGATACCTGTGTGAAATAAGCAACTGCACTGAAGATAGAAATGTCTAATACTACAGCCATGCTTAGATTGCCTATCATTCTTGTCTTCTAGAATCATACAACTTTTAATGTCACATCAATTACTGCTACACTCTCCCTCAAGCAAACGTTTCTTTTCAAAACAGGATAAAAAATGAAAACAACCATCAGGGAAACAATGTTATAGGACTGTCCTACTACAATGTTGTATATAGATAGATTTCTAAATTACTGAGTACAAATTTGTAATTCTTTATTACTATTTTTCTACTTTTTTATTTTTTCATTTTTTTTCACATTCTGTATAGATGTAAAGTTTACTATATCAATGATTGATGGAAAATACCTGTTCCATATTATGTCTAAGGCATTTGATATTCAAACAGATACTGATGTTAAGCTCAATAGCCTATGTTTGAGGGTAATAATGCCATTAAGCTTCTTTCCTGCAAGTTAACAACTTAAGTTTGCAAACCAAAAAATTAGAGAGAAGGAAGGGCTACAAGGATAGCCAACATTTTGGCCCTAGTTCTTAAAGATCAGTGAGGACTGAGGACAAAAGAGAACCTGTACTCTAACATCTCATTACACCTGTAATTCAGTGGTGTCCCAATCTGATCAAGTAGATTATGTGGCCACAGAGTGATTGAAGACGTACCGTGTGCCTAAGGAAAGTCACATGGAGAGAAAACATTCTTTCAGGCTTTCACAGAGAGCATATTGGTCAAGCAATGGCCGTAACTCATCCACATGGCTGACACTGACAAAAGATCTACAAACTGCTGTACAGGACTTCAGGGTAAATCTTGAGGGGATCACTTCCTTGTTAGATACAAAAGCTACATTTTTTTATTATATAAGACTTGCTTTATCTTGGTGTTAATCATCCTGCAGAAAAGTACAAAACTATAAAAAGTAGACATATTAATATGCTGAGCTGTAAAAGACTCAAGTCAACAACTTCTGACATTGTCAGTGTTGTGGACAATCCACTACTATTATAGACTAGTGTATTATATTGGATTGCTGTACGGAATTCATACACCTACAATATATGAAAAGCAATGGAATACCCATCTCTGGCACAACTAAACAGAAAAAGATTATATAACTGAAAGACCATTTTGTATGTGTATATACAACAAAATTAGGATAGATATACAGCTACTTTCTCCTAATTCAATGAGAAGAAAGATTTTTACTCATAATTTTTGGAAAGGTTATCATGTCTGCACCTTGCACTGTGAATAAAGACTACGAAGACAACAATACGCAATGTATTAATTATTGTAACTGTCCTACTAACCTGTCTTGAATCTGTCTCATTGCTATTACTTCTCAATAAAAATACTTTTAAAAAGAAATCAAAAGAAGAAATAATAATTGAAAAGTTTAACATGACTAAATGCAATGTGAGAACTTAATGATTAAACAACGAAGAGAGGGCAAGGAGAAAAGCTACTAAACAAGGCAGGGAAAATACCATACATTTATGTAGACAAGATGGTTTAGACAATGATCTTGAGAATCTCCCTCAGGTTTTTGAAACTAGCAAATAACTGGTAAGATTCTCACCCTGACTAACTATATATGCTGATACCTGTGAACTAAGCAACTTCACTGAAGACAGAAATGTGTGATACTAGGGCAATACTTGGAATGTCTGTCATTCTTGTCTTCTAAAAGTGTACTACTTCTCATGTCATTTAAATTACTGCTATAATCTCTCTCAAGTAACTGTCTGTTTTAAAAAAGAAGGTAATAAATGAAAACAAGAGACAAAGAAAGAAATGTCATAGGACTGTCATGCTACAATGAGGTATGTGGTTAGATTTCTAAATTTCTGTGTAAAAACGTGTAATTGTTTATTACTATTTTTTCCTTTTTATTTCTTTTATTTTTTATTTTTTACATTCTATATGGATTTAATGTTTAGCATATTTATGATTCATGGGAAATATCTGTTCCTTATTATGTCTAAGATGTTCGATATTCAGACAGATACTGATGTTAAGTCACCAGCCTATGTTTTAGGTTAATAATACCATTAAGCTTCTCTTCTGGAGGGTTAACAACTTAATTTTGCAGACCAAAATTAGTAAATAAGAAGGGAAAAAAGGACAGCCAACATTTTGGCCCTAGCCTTTCAAAGTCAGTGAGGTCTCAGGAAATAAGAAAACCTGTACTGTAACATCCTTTAACTCAGTGATGTCCCAAATTTTCTGATCAAGGAGATTATAGGGTCAGAGAGGAAAGTGGTCGATAATGTAGAGTGTGCCTAAGGAGAGTCACATGAAGAGGAAACATTCTCTCAGGCTTTCACAGAAAGCAAATTGGTCAAGCAATGGCCATGACTCATACACAAGGCTGACACTGACAAAGGATCAGCAAATTGCTGTACAGGCTTTCAGGGTAAATCCTAAGGGGATTTGGCTTTCCTTGTCAGATAAAAAAGTTACATTTCTTGTGATATAGGTCTTGCTTCTTCTTGGTCTTAACCATTCAGTGGAAAAGTGTAATAATGAGGTATGAAATGTAAAGCCATGTTAATATGCTGAGCTGTAAAAGGCTCAAGTCAAAAATTTCTGACGTTGCCAGTCCTATGGATAACCCACTATTATGATGGACTACTGGAGTATATTCAAATATTTTGCTGAATTCATGCACCTACAATTGTTAAATGGCAATGGAATACCCATCTCTAACAAAACTAAACAAAAAAGGGGATATAAATGAAGGACTATTTTATATCTGTATATACAAAATAGTATAAAATATAGCTACTTTATCTTAATTCAGTGAGAAGAAAGATTTGTGCTAATAGTATTTGCACCAGATATCATGTCTGCATCTTATACTATGAATAGTACTACAAAGACAACAATATGCATTGCATTAATTATTGACACTGTCCTTTAATCGGTTTTCAGACTGTCTCATCGCTATTTGTTTCTCAATAGAGTTAATAAAAAGAAGCTGTCTCATTGATACTTCTTTCTCTATAAAATTAATATTAAAAAAGTTAAAGTTTAGTGAAAATAAGTGTGTACATATTTCATCAAAGATCAATGCCCAGATAGTTTACAGCACTATTGTTTGTGAAAGTTATGATCTGGAAACAACTTAAAACCTGTCATCAGTTGACAAGATCAGTACAGGATAATGTGCTCATTCTGTGGAATATCCAACAAGAATGCAGCTTTGCGTCAAATAAGTACACAGGTGAATTCCATAGCACAGGTGAATTCAAAATATGAATTGATTCAAATAAATTAGAAACAAAAGGAAAATCAACTAGATGTTTTTACATGAAAATAAAACATGAACAAAATATTTCCGGTCCGCAAATGTTAGAATGGTTTCCTTTGCAATAAAGGAGGGGACTCTATTGTGTCTGGTGGTATGTTCATGTGAATCATGTCAGAGTTATTAGCATTATCCTTGCTTTTCTGTTCTGACACACATAACAGAATTTTATATCTACACCTACACATTATTCTTAAGAAATATAAGGCCATGTGTGCTGGTTGATTTCTGTAAACCCAGCATTTAAGAGGCTGAAGCAAGAGATTCTCAATGAATTTGAATCCAGCCTAGGCTACATAGTGTATCCAGGCCAGCCTGAAATACATACAGAGACTTGGTCTCAAAAGCAAAAAGTAAATAAATAACAGTGTCTAACAATGTCTTTAAAAATATTTACATTAACAAACCTTAATCTGACTTGAAAGAAGAATGGTAAGCAGAAACATCATTCAGTATGGAACATTTCACTGTGAAGTCAGTTCTCCCTGCTCTCTGCTGTGAGATCTGCTACTACTGGAGCATCCCAAACCACAGTCACCCCGAACACTCTCTTACCTGAGCAGACCACAGAAGCAGTGTTCCCTTGGGCACAGGGAGGAACACCCAGGGCGATCACAGGGCAACTCCACAGGAAGGACTCAACACCTGAGCAGTAGAATCGGTCATTCCAGATCTCATGGTCTCCTTCCACAAAGTACATTCCTCCTTCTGGGGTGGAGATGGCAATTCCACAGCCCAGCTGGCGGCACACAACATCTGCATTGGCCATACTCCAGTGGGATGCACACAGTGCTCTCCAGCCCACAGAAGTGTTCATCTCCACCTGGCCCTCACACTGGGAGGTACTGTTTTTCATAAGCCGGACTTCAGTGAACTCTAGAAGGAGAAAACAGGTTTTCAGCAATATCTCTCATTCTTCTTATCCATAGGCTTTCCAGTGAGAGTAAACCTACCTCTGAATCTCACCTGAACAAACAACTTCAACAGCTCCACTATGTTGGCAGCTGCCGCCAGGACAGGGTACTCTGGGGCAGAACCACAGCCCAAGCTCCTGCCCCTCACACCAGAACTCTTCACTCCACACCTGTGGAATGACCTCTCTAAAAGGCACAGCCCTCATAACAGACACAGCTTTGCCACACTCCAGTTCTGCACAGATGACTTGGGCAGTAGCAAATGTGAAGTTCCTGTCAGACACTGGAATCCAATCTCCTGCAAGATTGACTTCCACTCGCCCTGAGCAGGGTCCTTCTCCTCCAGATAGATGCACAAATCCTAGGTAGGAAAACAAACAAATGAGTGTCCTGATTTGGAAACAGGGTCTAACACATCAGAGACAATGATATGGATGCTCTTTGTTTTCCTCACAAGGATGCTCAGTAGAACAAGTGCTTGCCTGTCAAATGCAAGATCCTGAGTTCAATCTGTGGTTCCTCAAAAAAAAAAATACAGTGTGAGAAGATTCAACATTTGGGCTAAGAATGGAACCTGAATAACTAGATACTTGAAGGGACATTTAGGATATATTTATATATTTAGTTGAGAATGCCTGAATCCTATTCTATGATTATGATGACATGTCTTTACTTTACAAGAACATATCATCCTATGACATAAAATGATATATTTAGGGGTCCCCTCTTTATGTCCTAACAATTTAAATTTATATACCAAAAAGATATAGTAAGCAGAGAAAGCTGAAGTGGAAATCAATTTGTTCTTTTTTTTTTGGCAGAACTGGGGATTAAACTCAGGCCCTTGCACTTGCAAGAGAAGTACTTATTCTACTGAGCTATCTCCTCGGCCCCTGGAAATCAATTTGATGTGAAAAATTAGTCATGGATTTTTATATCATACTTTCTATCACAGGGAATTTAAAAAAAAATTAGAACCTGGATTAGATGTACTTAAAACATGTTTATCTTCCTTCCTTGATTTGTTTGTCTTGTTTTAAAGAATATTTTGTTACTAAAGCATAGAGTTTGAGAAAATCATGAGTCAGCTAGTGAAGGTAATTAAAAAGAAAATTTCCATTATAGTCTCAAAGCCAGCTGACTAGAGAAATTTCATGTAACAATATTTATAATGGAGCTCCACCTCACCGGATCAAGCCTGGGGCCAGCTTGTGAGTGAGAACTTCTACCAGAGGCTAAGAACCCCAACAAACCCAGCCCAAACCCAGATCCTGCCATTGTTAGGGAGACCTTCTATGCTCCCGTGCACCCCTGACCACTCCATTCCCAAACCAGGCCCAGCGAGTGACTGAGAACTTCTGCCACACTCTCAGGACCCCTTCACTGCTCCGGACCCAGCTCAGACCCTTCTTGTGAATGAAAACTTAAACTGCTCTCAGGACCCCTCCAGACCCAGCCCAAGCCCAGGCCAGGTAATTTTGAGGGAGAGCTTCTGCTCTTCCCTGAACCCGCTGCACCACTCCAAAACCGGGACAGGCCCTGCGCATGAGTGAGAAATTCCACCATGCTCTTGGAACCCCTGCACCCTACTGAACCCAGCCCAGGACCAGGTTGTGAGTAGAACTTCTGCCTCACTCTCAGGACCCCTCCACACCTAGAAAAAGCCCAGGCTTGGTGAGTGTGAGAGAAAGCTTCTGCACATCCCTGTGCCGGCCAGATCACTCCAGATATACCCCAGACCCAGCACATGAGTGAGAACTTCTACCACGCTCTCCTGACTCCTCCAAACCCAGTGCAAGCCCAGGCCCTGAGATTGTAAGGGAGACCTTCTGTGCTCCCCTGCACTCCTTGGACTGCTCCGGATCCAAACTAGTCCCGGCACGTGAGTGAGAACTTCTGCCACACTCTCAGCACCCTTCCATGCCTTAGGATCTGGCCCAGACCGTGCTTATGATAGAGAACTTACACTACTATTGGGAGCCCTCAAGACACAGCCCAAGCCCAGGCCAGGCAATTGTGAGAGAGAGCTTCTGTGCTCCACTGTGCTAGTTGGACTGTTCTGGACCCAACACAGGCCCTGCACATGAGTGAGAACTTCAGGCTCACTCTCCAGTCACCTCCAGACCCAGCCCAGACCTTGTATACAGGACTGCAGTGAAACTCTGTAACTGAAGTCCCTGCAGACAACTAAGCTAATGCAGGAGCAGAACATCTTTCCAGAGGGGCGCAACAGGTTCGTTTCCAAGGGCTGTAGCAGAAAGAAGCTGAGCACAGCAGCCAGACTCATGTCTGGCACAACTGGATGAATTCAAACATTGCAGATCAAATCGAATTTCAGTAAGTACTACTGTAGTAACTGAACCAAATCTGTGCACCAAAGGATCAGAGAACAGTGCTATACAAAATGACAAAGAGAAGAAGCAAAATGCAATCTCAAGCCCCGAGCCCATCCAAACTAAGTGCATAAGGCACTGGCAACAGAATAAATTGGGAATCACACAGCTGAAATGTCAGAATTAATAGAGTGTGAAACAAAGAAACAACTGTGGAAAGGTATAGAGGAACTAATCAGAAATGACCTATAAAATAAAAAAGAAATCTCTGAATTAGTAGCATCTTAAGTAAATAATTAAATGCAGGAACATATACAGGAAATCAGATCAGAAATAATCTCTTAAGTAAGGAATCAATAACTGCTTCTCAAAAAGAAACTGATAAATAAAAAGAGAGATTAGAGAAATGATGGAATCCTTCAGTGAGAAAAATAGGAAACAAATAGATTGCATGAAGCAGAGACAAAGAGATGCATAGGAACATAAATACTCAATCACAGGCTTGCAAAACCTTTTGAGTGAAAATGAATATAGAGGTTCAGATCATGAAGACGCCATTGAAACAAATGAAAAAGTAAGAAAAGATCTCTTAAACATAACCAGGACGCAGGAAAAAATAATGCATTACATAAAAGATGATGAAAAGATGAACACCAGGAAATTAATAGGCATCAATGAGAAAAAAAAGACTCAGTACCAATGATATAAAATGAATACGGGCAGAAAGAACAGAACAAAAGTTCCCAAATATGGAGAAATAATCTGACATTCAGTAACCAAAGCATACAGAACTAGAAATAACATCAACCCAATTGAAAGCACACCGAGACATATAATAGTCAAGATCCCAGAAATGCAGGACAAGAACAATACACTGAAAGCCATGAGAGAAAAGAAACATCATATTTAAAGGAACACCCATCAGCATAATAGAAAACATCTCTCCACAAACCATGAAGGAAAGAAGAGCATGGAGCAGCGAACTTCAAGTCCACTATAAGAACAAATTCTAGCCCAGACTAATATATCCGGCAAAACTGTCTTTCAAGTTTGATGAAGAAGTGAAATACTTCCATGAACAACTAAATAATTTCATGATGACAAAGCCAAACAGACACAGACTACTAAAAGATGTTCGAGAGAGGAACAAAAATAATAATGACTTCCATGAATGAAAATGGAAGGCACCCACTAAATAGGGAAAAAAATAAACACAGAAGAAAAAAGACTGAACAAAACCAGGTAAATAGAATATAAATCATAAGACAATACATCTCAATTATAATGATGAATGTAAATGGACACAATTCACCAGATAAAAGAAATAGACTGGCACAATGGATAAGGAAACAAAATCCAACAATATCATATATGCAAGAAAGACACTTAACTCATAATGAAAAACATAGGATGAAAAGCAAAGGATGGAAAACAGTACTAAATTCCACAGCACCTAAGGAAAAAGTAGGAGTAGCAAATATCTTCTCACAGGCTCAACTTCAAACCAAGAATGATCAAATGAAACGAAGAAAGCCACTATATACTGGTTAGGGGTAAAATTCAAGAGCAAGAGGTAACACTCCTACATATGTATGCACCAAACTTGGGAGCACCAAACTATATAAGACAAATCTTAATAGACATGAAAAACCTAATATCCAAAATGATAATCTTAACAGGAAAACTTAACACCCACATATCACAAAAACATACATCAAACAGACAGAAAATTAGGAAGAAAGAAGCACAACTAAACCAGAGTTTGGAACAAATGTATTTATTGGACATATACTGAGTGTTCAACCCAATCACAGCTGAATATTCATTTTCTTCAGCTGCACATAGGTCATTTTCAAAAATACACTACATACAAGTCCATAGGTCATACTTAAGTATATGCAGGAAAACAAAACTTATCCCATGCATATTATCTGACAACAATGCAACAAAACTGGAAATTAATAACAAAAGAAACCAGAAAAAAACCGTAAATACATGGAAATTAAACAACACCCTACTCAGCACCAATGTGTCACAGATGAAATTAAACAAGAAATTCAGCAATATCTACGATTCATTGAAAATTCAAGCACAACTTAACAAAATCTATGAGACGTGATGAAAGCAGTTCTTAGAGGTAAATTTATGGTTGTAAACTCACACATTAGGAAAACACAACGGGTACAAATGAACACCTATGTTGCATGTCCACTATCTAGAAGAGGAAGGGCAAATGAAAACCAAAGCCCAAAGATGGAAAGAAATCACAAAAACTAGAGAAGTAACAAATGCAAATGAGAAAAAAAGCAGATCAAAGAATTAAAGAATCCAAAAGCTGGTTCCTTGAAAGATAAAAGAAAATTGATAAGACCCTAGCCTACCTCATAAAAAAGAGGAAAGAAAAAATGCAACTACAAGCAATAAGGAATAAAAAGGTGTAATTACTGCAGAACCGGAGAAATTCAGATTAACAATACCTACTTTGAGAATCTTTACTCTCACAGATAGAATACACAGAAAAAATGGATAGATTCCTGGAAAGTTACGAATTACCTAAACTGGACTCGGCAGTGCCTCCCCACCCTGCCCACTGAGTAGGATTTACTGCCGAGTTCCGGGAGCCCCCAGACCCAGTCCTACCATAGGTCCTGTGAGTGTGCAGAGAGATTCCTGTTTCCATGCACCTGCGAAACCAGTCCCAGCCCAGGCGCAGAGTGGGCCGGACCATCTCCCAGGCCCTTGGGCCACCCCCCACCACTCCGCAGTGCCTCCCCCACCTTGCCCGCCGAGTAGGATTTTCTGCCGAGTTCCAAGAGCCCCCAGACCCAGTCCTAGCCCAGGTTCGGTGAGTTTGCAGAGAGCTTCCTGCTACCCTGAGCTACCGGGACCAGTCCCAGCCCAGGCACAGCAAGGGAAGGACCCACTCCCATCCCTGTGGGCCGTCCCACACCATTACGCAGTGCCTCCCCCGGACCGCCCGCCGAGTAGAAATTTTTGCCCCGTCCCGGAAGCCCCAGACTCAGTCCTA